AAGCACTTTAGATCAGAGTGGAAGCAAGTGTTTTTTAAGGCTGTGTGCTATTGAAGCGTGAAGAGATTCAGGAAGACTGGTCAGCTGGCAAGTAGTGCCTGCACTTTGAAGGAGGGAGTGAAGATATCGCAGTTTGGAGGGTGACCTTAGCAACAATGCCAGCAAGCTTCTGGCTAGACAGTGACTGAATGAGTGACAGTGAATGTAAAGAATAAAAATAATAATTTAATAATAATCTTTTTCTACAAGTACATGGGGAAATTTAAATACAGGCCTAGCTGCCCATCAATGACATACTACATAGAGAAAGCCCCTTTTGGTTATGCATGGGCATTTGGGGAAAATTTGGGGTCAATTTTTGTTTCCCGGATGCAACCCACACCATCTGCTAAAAACCTGGTACCTATTTTTTTAAATTACTTTAACAGGACAGCAGGGGTTTTAAGGGAAAACGCATCCTGTTTCCATCTGTACCAGGAATCGAACCAGGGACCTAAATGTGTGAGCCGGGGTGCCTTGAATAAATGGAACAATACACAAATAGCCCACTTTAAAGAGAATTTATAAACGACTTTAAGGGTTTCCAAATTTGGGGACTACAAAGTTAAGGGTCCAAGCTAGACTGAAACTTTGTAAAGGGTTTCATTTCCCTATGTGCGGGACCCTTTGTGTAATAAACATTTAATGTGTTATTTTCCTGGGTCACCTTACCTTGGTGAAGACACAATTTGTTAAGGTTTCCACCTTGCTACTGTTATGCCAATTCGTTCTCTTTTTTTTTCAACATGCCGGCCGTCTCCCACTCAGGAAGGGTGACCCTTTTCCTATTACTTTAAACCCAAAATCACAAAGCAAGAAAAATATATGGAATCAATTTTAAAATTTCTAAAACCCCACATCCAAAATCTGCTCCGTGCCCATCGGAAATCTGCCAAAAAATTTGGGTAAAGGGGGAAAATATCGCCACCATTTATGCATAAGGGGCCGGATGCTTATTTCGGGCCCTACCCCCCTGTGGAAAGTGTGGGACCCCCGGGGTTTGGTGGGCTCTGCCCCTTATACAATCCATTTTAAAACCTCCCCATGCTTTAAAGGGGTGATCCAGAGTTGGGGGGTTCCTTTTACTGACAAAGCCCTCGAACCCGGGGTTTTTCTTAACCTGGATTAAAGGGGAAATTTCGGGAAAATCCAGGAACTTTACATACTGTACAAAATAAAATATCTCTCACAAAATGTTATTTGTTTTCCCTGGTGACCCAAAAAACAATAAAAAATATCCTGAGGCCTTTATTTTACTTTTTTTTTTAAATTTTTTATCAAAAATAATTGTATAAGATTATCTAGAAAAAATCTAACGGGGCAAAAAAAGGGTTTAAGAATTTTTTGGCTTTAAAAGATACAAAAATACGTACTAAATTTCCAAGAGGTAAAACCCCTAAATTGATCCAGTGCTAAGGCATAGAAAAAGTTGCAAAAATTGAGTTTTCTATCATAAAAAAACATCTATGTAGTGGTGAGACGGCCAAGATACTTAAAGAAAAAGAATCATAAAAATAAATTTGGGGTATTATCTGTCAAATGGGTATAAATTTGTACTATTTGCATCACATTTTATCCATTCACTTTTGAAACTGTCGAACTTTACTTGTTTCCCCCAAAGGTTTGCACCCTCTCTGATATACTGAAATGACTTTTTAAAGCTGAACAAAAATAAGCATACTCCAAATCCCAAAGGCCCTTTAACCCATTGAGGGTTTTCGGTCACATATATACGCCCTTAAACAGCCACCGGTTTGACGTATAAAACTGTAAAATTCATAAATTCTAGGGGTTTTTCAAATCAAGCGGGAGAAAGCTGGTAGGCCCACATTGAGAGAATGGGTCTGTGGGGGGTCATTGGGGCACCATATAAAAAAAAATCCTGCAGCACACAGTGCATAATGAGGAAAAAAACTCGGGTTTTTTTTTTTTTTTTTTTTTTTAAATTAAAGTGCCATTTTGGGGTTCTTTTTTTCTATAGAAATTAAGGGTTTGTTTTCCCTTGTTTTTTTGGCCCTCATTTGACAGAAGGGAAAAATTTTAAATTTTATGGGAAATAGGGGTGATTTTGATTGTTTTACCATAAAAAAAACCCGGAAAGGGAGCTCAAAGTGGGGAAAAAAATCTTGATTTTTGCTGATGTTCAAAAGAAAACCCAAATGATGCCATTGCCCAAATAAATGTCCAACTACCATTCAAAATGCATCATGAAGGGTTTTGATTTTATTATACAATTTTTACAAAATTGCAGTAGTCTGCATAACATAAATCTTCTATTTTTTTTTTTGAATAAAAATTAAAAATAAAAAGGGGAAAGAGAAATAAAAAGGGGGGCCTGGAGACTGACGGGGAAAAACAAAGAAAATTTTTTTTTAGAACCGGGAAATGCTGCATTGTTAAATTCGGGCCCCCTATTTTGAAATCGCCTTTTTTTTTTAAAATTTTTCCCCGTAAAATTTGGGCCAAAATTTTGAAAATTTCTGCCCAAAGTTTTTGGGGTTTTTAAAAAATTGGGAAAATGGGAAAGTTTTTTTGGGTACCAATCGATAGAAAAAGGATTTCAAAGAAATAGCTATGGGGGTTGGTCGACGGAAAAAAAGAAATTAGCCAAAAAAACAGGGCCAAAGTGGACAAAATCGCAAATTTTCAAATATCGCCGGGTGGGCAAAACTTCGCGGAGCAATTTCCCGTTTTTTTTCCATAAAATTTTCCCCGTTTTTTTTTGGTGTCATTAAAATTTGGGGAAAAAAATTTCTTTTTTAAAATTTTTTTTTTTTTTTTTAAATTTTTGCGACCCAAAACCCCTCGGGATTTGGGGTTTTGCGACATAAAGGGGTTCAAATAACTACACAATCAATCAGAACCTATTTTAAACAACTACTGAATCTTTTTTTAAATTTGCCCCCCTTCCAATAAAATATTTTAACAAATTTAGATTTTCCCTTGAACTTTTAAAAAAACTTTCAAAAAATCTTCCCCTATTAAAACAGTGTACTTTTTCCTTTTTCTTTTTTTTTTTAAACAAAACCGGGGGGAATCCCCCCCAAGGCGGGGTGGCCCCCCCCCAAAAAAAAAAAAAAACGGAAGTTTCTCTTTTTAAATTCAGTAATTTATAGGGGAAAAGGGGGTTTCTAGCCCCTTGCTCCTGGCTTTTTAGTCCCCTCTTACCCAGAGGGTGTGTAAATACAGGCTTTTTCATGTATGGGGCAGGGGACCTAAGTGTAAGTAAAAGTAGAAAGGGACGAAACCGGGAAACCCTTGCATGTTTATGAAAACCAAAAAAGGGAACCACCAACAATCCTCCCATCATTTTAAAAAAAATTTAACGGGTTTCTTTTAAACATTTCACTTGGCAGGACGGAGAAAACCTCCCTGGGGTTTGCTGTCTACAAAACCACACCTATAACTGCGGGTGGGCCCTCGCCTAACGATTTAAATTTCCTTTCCCTGAGAGTTTCAATTTTAGGCAAAAATTATCATTACCCAAAATTTTAATTTTCCCCAAAAAATACAGTGGCCATCTTTTTTCATAATTAATCCGTTCCTGAGGTGCTACTATTATCGAAACCTACAAATTTTCGAACAATTTTCCCCAAAAAAATAATGAAATAAATTTAATCCTTCCTGACACCCAAAGTATCAACAACATTTTTTTTTACCTTAAAGATAGTTTTTAAAATGCAAAAAAGAAAAACCTTTCAACATGACAGTTACCTTTATTAAAGGGCTGTTGTTGAAGAATGGAAGACAGGGAGAAGGGAGAGGGAAGAGGGGTTTTATTTTTTGGGAAAAGGGGAAAATCCCCCCCCATAAGGAGGAAGAGAGAAACACAAAAGCAGTAAATTGCTCCCCCAAGCAATAAGCTCAGGTGCAAGTAAACCTAAAAACCCAAACCCCTCTCATTTCATTAATATTTATCCACCATAGTTTTTCAAAACATAAGAAAGGGGGAACCGTGAAATAGGTGGCTGGCCCATACTAGGCAGGTTTTTCCCAACAAACCAACCCACAAACAAATAACTGCTATACCCAACAATAAGCTTTGAAAAATTTGCGGAATCACTAAAGAAACACCCTCTACCACCATCACTACCCCCCTTCTAACACTTTACAATGCTACCCCCTTAAAACAAAAACGGGGGGAAAAACTGCAGCGGGCCATTTTGGCCCTTTACGGGCGGGTCCTAAAAAACCATCCCACAACAAAACATTTGCCCCCCCAAATTTTTTCAATGCTCCCCAAAGAAAAAAGCTTTGATAATTTACCCCACCATTTGCAAGTCCCCCAAACCAAACCCAACCCCCCCTCTCTCATATATTTATCCAACCAAAATTTTAAAACAAA